AACAAACAAGTGGCAATAAGGAATCATTGCAAATGAAAGCATGAGAATGAGGGGTACTTGAATAACTAAAGGGAAAATGGTAATAGGAATTACTACTGAAAGACCACTGATTTGACCAGAAGGTGGTCAGTCAGTGGTTACTTCCTACAGGTCTGTTTCATTTGCTAATGACAAATACTAAAAGCCTACTGGCAAGGCTCTGGTTGGGCAGCCTGGGGCATGCTGATAACCTAAAACTACTCATTGCCCTACAATCTAATCCTTCTGCTGCGGGCCTCCCTGCAGGCCTGTGGGCAATCACCCTCTTCTTGCTGGAGCCTAGACTGGTCCCCACAGCCAAGTCCTAACTGGGCTTCTGCACAACCTGTTGCTACTACCTCACTGTGGAATCTGGTAACCAATGTGCCTCAGCCTCAGGGCTGTGCCTCTTATCAGCCAAAAGCTAATCTTGTTGGGTCTGTGTTTTCCAATTTTTCTACAGTGAATTGGAATTACACTGTAATTGGAAAAACACTTAAAAAAAAAAAACAGGGAGATTTAAAACCTGTTCAAAAAGTAAACAAAAGGAAAAAAAAGGAGGTAGGCAAGGCAATAGCTGGACAGGGCAGAAGAGAATTTTGTTGTTCTTATTTTAATTGAGGATTGGGGATATGTGTTCATAACTGAATGGACCATGGGAATTCTGTGTAGGACCGAGCTTCCCAAAGTTTATCACCCAGGAATCTTGTCAAAAGGTAGTTTCTGATTCACTAGGTCTAGGGTGGAGGCCCAAACAGTGGTGTGATGATTCGAAGAGCTTGTGCATCTCCTTGGTAACAATACTCCCACTGTGGCAATTTCAAGTTACCAACAGGAGGTCACCAAGCAGCCTGGGAAGAGATGTACACAGTCAGGTGGAGACCAGTAAAAGCTGGCTCCAGCACATCCACATTGCTGCATTTCTAACAGACACCCAGGTGATACAAATGCTGCTGGTCCGTGGACCATATTTTGAGTCGAATGGAAGAAGATAACAGTAAAGGGATTAGGCTAGGACCATGGTCGGCAAACCGCGGCCCTCGAGCCACATGCGGCTCTTTGGCCCCTTGAGTGTGGCTCTTCCACCAAATACCACGTGCGGGTGCGCACATACGGTGCGATTGAAACTTTGTGGCTCATGCGCAGAAGTCGGTTTTCGAGTCTATTTTGAAGAAGTGGCGTTAGAAGTGGGGGGTGTCAGTCGGTCAGTCGGGCAACTGGAGATGCAGCGCAGGGGGGCCGCGAGATACGCAGTGCGGGGGAGGCACCAAATATCAACAGTACTTAAACTATATAGGTAGGTTAATAACGATGTACCTACCTATATAGTTTAAGTTTAAAAAATTTGGCTCTCAAAAGAAATTTCAATCGTTGTACTGTTGATATTTGGCTCTGTTGACTAATGAGTTTGCCGACCACTGGGCTAGGATAAAGGAGACGTGAGATGATTTGGGACAGTAGGGAGAGACATCATCTAGATCAGGGTTTCTCAAGCTCAGCATTACTGACATTTTGGGCCAGAAAAGTCTGTATTAGGGGTTATCCCCGTACAATGTTGGATGTTTAGCAGAATTCCTGGCTTTCACCCACTAGATGCCAGCATCCTCCTCATCCAATAGTCACAATCAAAAAGGTCTCTGGAAACCAGTGATCTAGATTCATCTCTACAAATGAAGGAGAAGGAATGGGTACCTCTTCTGCTGAGAAAAGAGACATTAAAGAGGAGTGGGGGGCCCTGACTGGTTTGGCTCAGTGGATAGAGCGTCGGCCTGCGGACTCAAGGGTCCCAGGTTCGATTCCGGTCAAGGGCACGTACCTTGGTTGCGGGCACATCCCCAGTAGGGGGTGTGCAGGAGGCAGCTGATCGACGTTTCTCTCTCATCGATGTTTCTAACTCTCTATCCCTCTCCCTTCCTGTCTGTAAAAAATCAATAAAATATATTTTAAAAAATAAATAAAGAGGAGTGGGGGGAACACAAAACCATGAGACAATGAGCTCTCTTTAGATGTGAGCAAGCTCAATCAAGTAGGAAAAAAAGGTTATCTGTTTAGAAAGAGTGCAATGAGGATTGAAAGTTTAAAAGATCAGAAAAGTTCTAGAGAGTAATAGAAAGGTTCTGACCCAAGACAATGGGTCCAACAACGAAGAAGTAGAATCAGGGATATCTTTGGCTCTTGGGAGTCAGAATTGCCTGGGTTCAATTCTGGCTGTACCACTTACCAGCTGGGTGACCTTGAGCAAATTATTTAACAAGTATAAGCCTTCTCATAAGAAAACTTCATAGAGTAGTCATAATAATGCATGTTAAGTTCTGAGCACAAGGTTTAGTACACAGTACATGCTCAATGTTAACTACTATTATCAACATCGTTATTTTCCTTGAAAAATATCTGCTTCATTTGGCTATTGCTTTAAATTTCTCTGATGAAACAAAACACATGGAAAGATCTGAGGCATTATTTGTTGATGTGCTTTATAAATACTGTACTCATTGTGGAAACAGAAACTTTGTAGCTGAGGAGGCATGAGAGTTGTAGAAGCCAACCAAGCACTCATTTACTGATGCTCCCAAAATCACAATGAATGAGACAAGGTAAAAGGGAATGAAAAGCCAATAAATCCAGGGAAAACAAAAAGTTAAATTTTACCTGCAGCTGGCAGGTGTTCATAGGACTCCAGTTAGCACAGAGAATGTGTGATGAACCCTAGTACAGCCGCCATAGAGGGCAGGTTTATAAGAACCAACCTGATTTCAAGTTGTTCATCCTACAATAACAGTTGCTGTTGCTGCTGGGTTTTTATCTAAGTCAAGAACTGATTAAAACACAGAATCTAAAGTAATCCCTTTCAGCGGTTCTCAACCTGTGGGTCTCGATCCCTTTGGCGGTCAAACGACCCTCTCACAGGGGTCGCCTAAGACCATCCTGCATATCAGATATTTACATTATGCTTCATAACAGTAGCAACATTACAGTTATGAAGTAGCAACGAAAATAATGTTATGGTTGGGTCACAACATGAGGAACTGTATTTAAAGGGCCAGAAGGTTGAGAACCACTGCTTTAGATACTCAAATAACAGTCTGCAGCGTGGAGGATTTAGAATCATCAGTGTTCTCTTCTAGGTTTGAGTAGGTACTAAACACCTATTTCAAGAGTATGACATTTTCCCTCTACTAAAATTCTTGGGAGGTCATGGAGGGTTTTGTCTGTCCCATGTACAACTGACCAACGAGGGATGGGAAGCACGCCGGGTTCAAGAAGCTTCTCAGTGTCTGTGCAGGAAAGCTCTTCCCGACTAGAATAATTAAAGATCCTCCAAGGGAAATGTAGAACGCTACAGAGAATTCAAAAATAAAGTCCATTCTAACATGAAACTTATCAAGATGAGGATATAAGATCCCCATATAAGACTCCTTCAACCTAGACTGCTGACTTCAAGCATTTTACATCAACAAAAGAACAAGAGCCAAAAGGGCAAACATTATCAAGCATACCAAGCTTATCAGCTGTCTGTATGGGGGCGAAACACCGGGAAGAACAGTTGATGTCACCGCCGTGCAGGTCGCCAGGAACCAGGGTCCTCAGCCAACCACAGCCACCGGATTTCAAGCTTCCAAAAATAGCTATGACTTACACACAAGCGCTCGTCCAACACCTCCCAGACGACAGTCTCACATAGACGGTGATGAGATGGGGGTCACTTCTCAAACGGTGGCCAAGGGACGTGAAGATGCCCATGATTAACAGGCACGTGGTCTCCACTAACAGGAGTCCCGAGAAATGTACAGAACTGGCTCTCCCTTAAAACAACAGTCTCTTCTCTACATCAACGCCACTGTCTCAAAACTAAGATTTATTCCCACCTGTTTCCAGTCACTGCCCTAAAAAAGAATAGAACTGATCTCTGAAAGCAGAGAAAACCCTGACTCGGGTGCCGGCAGGCAATGAATGGGAACACCTAACAAAGCCATTTCCATTAGAAAGCGGCATACTCTCATTTCCAGGTCTCTTTCACTTCCGAAGTTGTAAGAGGAAGTAAGCGTGTCCACCTTCTACACTACTGGCCTCCCGAGTGCAAGAGGAGAGTAAAAAGGTACCAAAGGTCTCTCGCGCGGGGGCCTCTGACAGCTCTGTGTTGCGAATAAGCTTGAAATCCCTCGCTCCCAAACTCGCGTGTGAACACCCGGCCCACGTTCCCCGTCTTGCTCGCTGGAGGGGCGATGGGGAAGCGCGAGCGGTGACATCCCGGAGTCGCAGGGAAGACAGTCTCACACTGCCCACTTCCAGGTTCCTCCACACCGACGTCAGCCTCGGGTTTCCTCCCAAAGCGCGTTCCTTTCCTCGCGCCACCGGAGCCCAGAGACCCTGGGGCGGCCCGGGGTCCTCGCAGACACCGGGACAGACACACGCCCCCGCCTCGGCGCGACGCCCCCTCCCTAAACCCCGGCGACCAGTGCGCCCCTGCGGGCGCTGCGGGGAGGCGGGCGGCTCTAGGGAGCGTGGCCGGCGGCGAGGGCGCAGGGGGGTCGCCAGGACCCGGCCTCTCCCCGGTGCTGGTCATGCCGGCTTTCGGTTAACTTCTCCCGGGGGTGAGACTCTCTAAAGCGGATTTTAAAATAGAAACAAAGCGCCAAGACCACCAAAGCCGCCCCTGGAAGTTCCTCGGCCCCGGGCGCGGCCCGGGGCGCTCTCCCCAGACACCGCGGTGCAGACAACCCCGCGCCCGCCTTCCGGCTTCGTTTCCCAAACATCTGATGCCCCTCGTTCGGAGACCGAACCGAAGTCTAGGAAAGACTCCAGCCGCCTCCCGAGCCCCTTCCCCGCGCTCGCCCACGCCCACGCCCCTCGCAGCCCCCGCCCCGCGCCCAGCCCGCAGGCCGCCGCCCGCGCCGCTCTCGCCCTAGCCCTCCACCCCTCCTCTCTCCGACCCGGAGCCCGTCCCGCCGGCTCCCCGCTCCCCTCGCCGCCACGGAGCCCACCGAGCCGTGGCCATCGGCTGCTCCGGCCGCGTCGTCCTGCTGCAGCTCCGCAGTCATGGCCGGATCACCGGCCTCCCGCCACCGCCGCCAGCGCTGCCTCGCAGGAGGAGGAGGAGGCGGAGACCCTGCCACCGCCACCGCCTCCGCCCCAGCGCGCGCCGGAGGCTCCGCCCACACGCCCGCCACCACCGCCCATCATCCAGCTCCGGCCCCGCCTCCGCCCAGCGCGCGCCGGAGGCTCCGCCCACACGCCCGCCACCACCGCCCATCATCCCGCTCCGGCCCTGCCTCCGCCCAGCGCGCGCCGGAGGCTCCGCCCACACGCCCCGCCCCTCCCCGGCCGAGGGCCGCGGGGCCTCTGCGTGCGCGTGCGCACCCGGCTTGACCCCGGCGTCGGCCACGTGACCCCCGCCCCGCCCACAGCTAGCGGTCGGCATTGCCACTCGGGGAGGTTACGTTCTCGGCGGGGTGCCCAGGGCACGGTTTTCGGGCGGCGGCCTCTGCGTCCCGCGCTGCTTCTCGGTTCTCTGCTTCCAAGATATGCTCATATCTAGGACCCGCCGCCCGCTCAGCCTTCCCCTCGAGGAGTGAAAGCTGCTCCCCAATTTGGGACCCGGTCTAGGGACAGCGTAAATAAAGGGCTTCCCACCTGGTCACGTGGCCATTCCTAAGTCCAGCGACACGAAAAATTATTAATCACCTTCTTAAAAAGGGGAGACAAGTTGGATGAGTGGCCTTCCGAAACTTAACCAAACCTCTTCACTGCTGCCCAGTGTGGTGCCTCACACTGGCCTGGGCCTGGGCAGTATGGACAGTAGCCACTGTGTTTTGCCACCAAAAAGGATGGGGTGGAGGGACAAGGGGTTGCAACTCAGTCCCTGCAGACCGGGCCAGCCACGTGCACACGCTGCACTGCTGCCGGGAGGGAGAGGAACTTCGCGGAGGGGAAGAAGTTAAGGAGAGGCATTTGCAACCACAGAGCCTGATATAAGCACAGCTCTTTCTGCAGGGTTCCCCGATGGCCCGGCTGGAGAACTGCTCCCAGGAGCGCTAGTTCCAACCACGGTCCCTCCCACCCATCTTGTTACTTTAAAGCAGTGGTTCTCAACCTTCCTAATGCCGCGACCCTTTAATACAGTTCCTCATGTTGTGGTGACCCCGAACCATAAAATTATTTTCGTTGCTACTTCATAACTGTAATTTTGCTACTGTTATGAATCGTCATGTAAATATCAGATATATAGGATGTATTTTCATTGTTACAAATTGAACATAATTAAAGCATAGTGATTAATCACAAAAACAATATGTAATTATGTGTTTTCCGATGGTCTTAGGCGACCCCTGTGAAAGGGTCGTTCGACCCCCAAAGGGGTGGGGACCCACAGGTGGTTGAGAACCGCTGCTTTAAAGTCTTAGTCCAAATATGTATCAGGAGCAGGTGCACAAAAACCCTACTGAGACCAAAGTCTGTAAGTCTAGCGCCTATTTTGTTTTCCATGTCTCGCTTCAGGTCTTCTATTCAAGTCTTTAATACTTTTTGAGTTAATTTTTGTGTATGGTGTCAGTGGCTTCCCATTTTCTCAACACCATTGTACTAGTATAGTTTGAAGTCAGGGAGTGCGATACCTCCAGCTTTGTACTTTTTTTCTCAGGGTTGCTTTGGCTTATTGGGGTCTTTTGTGGTTCCATATAAATTTTAGGAGTATTTGTACTAGTTCTGTGGAAAATGCCACTGGGTTTTTGATGGGGATTGCATTAAATCTGTATATGCAGTGGTTCTCAACCTTCTGGCCCTTTAAATACAGTTCCTCATGTTGTGACCCAACCATCAAATTATTTTCGTTGCTACTTCATAACTGTAATGTTGCTACTGTGATGAATCGTAATGTAAATATCTGATATGCAGGATGGTCTTAGGCGACCCCTCTGAAAGGGTCGTTCAACCGCCAAAGGGGTCGGGACCCACAGGTTGAGAACCGCTGGATTGCTTTGGGCAATGTGGCTATTTTAACAATGGTAATTATTTCAGTCCATCAACATGGACTGTTGTGAGAGTATTATGTTAAGTGAAATAAGCCAGACAAAAAGAACAAGAACTGTATGGTTACACTTATATGTGGGAAATAAAACAAAAACAACAAATGAACAAATAAATTTAAAACCTAGATACAACAACAGAATGGTGGTTACCAGAGGGGAAGGGGGGTGGGGAAAGGGCAAAGGGGGCCCAATACATGTCAGAAGGAGACTTGGCTTCAGGTGGTGGGCACATGATACAGTGCACAAATGTTGTATTAGGAGGTTTTACACCTGAAATTTGACGGTTGCCATTTTACCCCAATAAATATAAAAACATACTAAAATAGAAAAAAAAAATTCTTAATTTGTCCCATTTTAGATTTTCTGGAGTTCAAACTGAAATTTTGTAGTATTTTGTTAAGTTTGAGCAGATGCTGATGATAGCATGTTAAAGCTAAGGTGCCCTCCGTTGAGTTGTATTTTGAACAATTCGGTGGAAATTGTAACTACTGACCATGTTTCACATTCACATGTGTCACAAGGGCACGCTTTTGGCTCTCCAAAATCGATGCTCAGGCTGGGTGTAAAAGTTCCTTTTTTAGGGGTTACTGCTTTTACCGTTGCCCTGGTCCTAGCCCTCGGGCAGCACCCTTGGTGTGAATTTTTTACGGGATAGTGGCCTTTCCTGTGCTCCCCCGCATTGTTGTTCTTGCGACTGTGATGTTTCACCGGCAGGTTTTTCTAGTCTGCATGTGACCACGACTTGTGGTCTAAGGACACGGGTGAAGCTCCCATGGGAGAGCTGATTACTCTCAGGAGCCTGAACGAGGACTAGGGATAGATACTTCTTTTGCCTGGAGATACAGGGGCCCCCTATCCCTGGCAGGTAACTTTTGAAGAGATCAGAATCTTCCACATTCAACAGGCTGTGTTTATGTCTAATGGTTGTAAGACTATTTTTTTGTGTGGCTTTACCCCCTCCCCCTTTTTAAAAAAATATATTTTATTGATTTTTTACAGAGAGGAAGGGAAAGGGATAAAGAGTTAGAAACATCGATGAGAGAGAAACATCGATCAGCTGCCTCCTGCACACCCCCCACTGGGGATGTGCCCGCAACCAAGGTACATGCCCTTGACCGGAATCGAACCCTGGACCCTTCAGTCCGCAGACCGATGCTCCATCCACTGAGCCAAACCAGTCAGGGCTCCCCCTTTTTTTTAATGAGTAATCAAACCTGTGTTCATGGCCTCAACCCTGGGGGTCAGAGCAAAACAAGTTGATTTCTTAGCTTAGTTTATTTGCAGCATTGCATACTTGTACGTTGCTAGAAAGCTCTATTTTTGTGTGTCTTTAGCATGTCTCTGGAGCCACTCTTGTTTCATCTTTGCACATTTGTCATAGGAAATTGCTTATTTATTGTGTGTAAGTGGGTGGAGACCTATTATGCTTAATTATAAAAATTTCCTTGAAAGACCAGCAAAGACTGTTTATACTCATGTCTCTGAAAGAGGTATGTACAGACCATTCGGTAAATATTGGCACCTGAGTTTTGATTAAGCCGCTTTCTGCTATGTGGTTCTAAACAAGACTCCATATTAATAAATTTGACCTAATCAATTTGAGGGCTATAGCCCCATGGGTTTAACTACCAGCTGGTCCTGGACATGGTAATCAGATAGAGATACCCAGTCCAACCAGCGTATTTAATGAACACTCTACGTCAGTGCTCGGCCATCAGTTGGCAAGCTTCATGGTGATCAAATAACAAAAGTGGGTATCATGGAACATATGCTGTCACCTCAGAAAATCCCCCCTCATTCCTCTTTAAAACCCATACATGAAGGCTTCACAATAATCATGTTATTAGTTGATAATCATTTCAAGAGTATTCAGGAAAAATAATATTAATATGGAGCAATAAATAGGTGACCTATGAAAAAGGGGGAATAGTTTTCAGAGTATTTTCCCAAAGAAGAAATTGAATTATTTTTTCCTTTCTCAGAAAACTTTTTGTCCCAACGCTCAGTAATTTTCCGAGTTAGTGTATTTATAGTTCTGCTTCTGATTTATCTCAAACTCCAAATATAGTTTGTATTATAATAAAATGATCCTATTTCAATGTTATTGAATGCTTCTATCAATCTTTGTGGGGTAAGTGAGAAGGGAGGGAAGGAGTTAGGAAAAGAAAAAAGAAAAAGGGAAAGAAAAAAATGTATACTTGCATTTCATTTGGGCTTCACTCTATAAATAGTTTTTGCCACTGGCTTCAGACCAACTGGAGTTGAAAACTGATGGCCGAGGCTGATTGACAGGAGTGGCTGTTCTTTGAGCCATAGGATCTTTTCCAGGGATGATCTAGAAATATCCTTAAGGGCCAGCGTCTCGGCAGTTACAAAAAGGGCCTTTCTTACTACAGAGGGAAGAAGGAGGACAGATTAAAGATTTAGATGATGTGTAAGTGTTGAGGTTAAATTATAGGTGTTGTTTTTGCTAGTTGAAAAATCAGTTCCAACCTTCCTGAAATTTGTATGATGTCTGATGGATGCTGGATTTATTGGGGTGATCACTTTATAGGTTATATAAATGGCCACTTACTGAGTTAGACACCTGAAACTAATATAACATTGTACATCAACTGTAATTGAAAAATAAAAAAGTATTTTTTTAAAGGTATAATAAAATAGAGAACTAGAAGTAAGGCCATTTCTGCAATACTTATTTTTTTAAAATATATTTTTGTTGATTTCAGAAAGGAAGGGAGAAGAAGAGAGAGAAATATCAATGATGAGAGAGAATCATCGATTGGCTTCCTTTTGCACACCCACTACTGGGGATTGAGCCCACAACCTGGGCATGAGCCAAGCCAGCCAGGCTGCAATCTTGATTTTTAATAGACCAGCATCAAAGACCAGTGAAAATAGGATGGGCTCTTAATAAATGGTGCTCAGACTGATAGTTATCCATATAAAATTTAATTTTGGACTCTTACCTTACATCATAAACAGAAATCAATTTTAGGTATATTTGCGTGTAAAAAAAAAAAGTTAAAAACTTGTGAAACACCTTTGGAGAATCCTATGCTT